TACGTTGCCCAGGGTGCACCACGTGGGGGTAAGTCTATCGTTTTGATAGTTATCATGTGCCATTTAATTGACTTCAGACTTCACAGAAAGGAAGGGACGCCAAAGGAAGAAAAGAGAAAAGTTTTCAAAAATGTAAAAATACAGATATGTAGGCAGAAAAAAATTGAGGTGAGTATTGTGGAAGGGGTTGAATGTGACTTGCAGTGGGACCATTGTAGTTTGAGGTCAGAAATAAACTGTCGGTTTATAGACTTTTTTGCCGTATGAGTATACGTTGTCTAGGGTGCACCATATGTAGGTAAGTCTATCGCACACTCCACATGAAAACTAGTTACCCGTGAAATTTTAGAGACATTCTCGAAAGATGTTGCTGGATGCATTACTGCCGTTAGAGTGTAATATTCCACATTGTGGAGGTCACTGAAGGATCATGATATGCACAACATTTTTTCTTAAATATTTAAATTGATCCACAATCAAATGCAATCGCATTGAAATGAAAAAATGAAAATTTTTTTCAAAAATGAACTAAACATCGCAATCAAGTTAACCCTTGCTTCCCATATTATAGCAATCATCACAAATTACTGAAGGACTCAATTGGTTTAGAATTTTCCTTTATATTTGTCCAGCTCAAAATCACTTCAATGAAACATTGCAGAGTGACGGACATGTCTGAATCTTGATTTTAATGATGAATGAATTGAGATATTGATATATAAATAGTAAGCCTCCCTAAACAGATCATATTCTCAAACATCATGAAAATCATATTTTATATAACTTTCTTTGATTCGTTGTCGTTTGGAAGCAAAGCATTTTAATATGAAAAGAATTATCATAAAATCACCAACCTCGAAGGGATAATCGAATAACGAACTGTGAAATCGCCCCGCTGTTGATAATGCGCATTTTATTGTAAAAGTATTGTCATTTTCAAGTATGGGATCGTTTTATGTTTTTTTCTGCTTCTTAAGTTGTTTCTTTTAAACAAATAAATCTGATTGATGTTAAATTTCTGTATTTCCTCATTTCCATGACGAACAGTGCCCAATATTATAAATGTCAAAAGAATGCCTGCTTTTAACGCTTCTTAAAAAGGAATAAAATACAGCTGAATCTGAGGATAACATTTTATGTTGCTCAACATTATGCGTTGGAATTGATTTGAATTTCAATATCATGATTTCTTTAATTAGGGCGAAATATGAATTTATTTAGATTTAATTCGAGTTTTACATTTGTTTATCCACTTCTATGAATAAACAGCAATGGTAATATAAATAAAAGAGAAGAATATACTAACGGGAATAATGATTGACAAAAAGAAATTTAAGGATAGAAATAATGAAGAAACTTTTGACCATTTAGTCATATTCAATGATATTTTGAGCGAAATGAAATAACAAATTAAATAAAATATTTAAAAAACACTTTAACTAATTATAAGTTAATTTTAAAAATTATTAATGCTTTATTCAGCTTTCCATGGCATAAATGTCTTTTTCGGTGTATATTAATATAACATTTTACAAGAATAAATAAATCACTTTGGCCTAACTGTGACTGAAAGATTTCGGGCGCGTGTTCCGGAATTTTTTGTCCTTGTGTCGCCTAAAATATTTTACGGATTGGATGCTCTTGGTTGCCGCCATAAGTGAGTTTAATCGTTTAAAATATTTGAGATATGTTTTTCCATTAAAGTAGAGTTTTACCCAGGTGTGCTCAATTACCGTTAGGTACTTGGTCACCGAAGTGTTTTTGCTAATTTTTTAGTTTGCCTTGTGACTTTTAACTTCACATAGTTATGGCTATTTATCTTTTTTTCGAATTTATGTTCAATGAGTTTTATTTTAATTGAGACTTTTTAGTATGTTCTTGTGTATTTTATTCGGTCTCCCATAAATCCGTATTAATTTATTATTATTTATAGTTTTCTGTTTTTTCATTTAGAATGACTTCCCCGTCTTGGAATGGGTCTGGAGTCCCACGCCGGAGTCGTAGCGGTTCGAAAACTGCCTCCAACACCAGTTTAATCGATTGGGATAAGGGCGTTTTGAATTATGTTTACTCCTGCATGCATCCTCCATCATATTACTATACTCAGTCTCAATTTCAAGCAACCGATTCTCAACCATCTAGATCTGCTGCTTTTCTTAGGGCGCATCGACGTATAGTTTCAGCCACTTCACCACACGTTTTCTTGCAAGCTCCACTTGGGGTAACCTCCAAACCATCTAGACTTGCGGTTTCAAGAGGTCGCGGGCATTGTCGAAATGCTTCAGACCCTGGAATGCATCTCTATTTTCCACCACCTCCGCCGATATTTATTCCTCCCAGTACTACAACTCTGATTGACGAAAAAGGAGGGATTGTTACTTCTCAGTTTGTAAATACTATCTTTTCGCTTTTGATAATGTTATTTAAAATATCTAGAAGAAATGCATTTTATAGTTTATGTGGTGTATGTAAAATGTAAGATAACCTGATAGTTAACATCATTTTCTAGTCAACTTGTCCTTGTGGATCTATCATTAGTCTCTTCAGTTCGATCCTCTTTGTCAGCAAAATGAGTACTTATTGAAATCTAGAGATTTAAGTCCTAGTCATAATCACAATTGATCTATTAGACTAAATGGGATCAAGGAAATGGTTGATTAATTCATTCGAATACATCACACCTTAAATTGTATCGCTGGGCAACGACTGATATCATAAAAACGTCCTGCTGAATCCTCTCTTGCTGCTTGTCATTCCGCTCACTAGACATTCACAATGATCAATACGCCATCGAGAGAGAGAGAGAGAGAGAGAGGGGGGGGGAGATAAAGTCATTATTATTGCGCTACGTTAGTAGGTATACCTTTTACTATGCACGAGAGGGCAAACTTGCAGGGTTTATTCATTTATAGGCACCTGAATTCGTGAGAACCCAAAATAGTTCACTATGCATTAGTTCGGACATTAGACGAGAATAAAGCTGCTTTAGGATGATATGCTTCGTTATTTGAATGCCTGGTTCTTTAGATCGTCTGTTTTATTAATATCTAAGCTTTTCAAATCTAAAGCTTATTTCTTCAATCTTAGTATTTTTCGATGAACTAATGTCTGATAAATTACCTACTTTTTTAACCATTAGATCTACTTCTGTGTTTGGCCATGCTAGTCTTATTCACTTGTTTCTACGTCATTAGTCGTTGGGAAGGATTTTACAATTCATGTCTGATTTGGGCAGACGGTATTTAAAGAAACAGAAGTTTCCAATTCGTTGGTTTATCACTAATAATCGTTTTGTAAGTCATTAATCTACCTTTTACGGAGAATGAGATTTTGATTAGCAGGAATCATGAGTTAGCTTCTTATCGGTTTACATCTTGGGTGAATGCTTTTAAATTGACCTCCTTTATGAGTTGGTTTAGAAAGCTTTTCCTTGTCTAAAATGAATATCGGAAGACGCTTACTGGTATATGTTACCTCACTACAATGCCTTAAGTGTTTGTGTCTCGGAGTTGAGTTGTGAGTTCAGTAGTAACTGTGTGGTACTTATTTTTACCCCCATTTTTATTAATTTTACCTTCCAGTTTGATTAAAATTCACATACTTATGCAAGAGATAGGGAATTGAAATTATGGTTTCCATTGGTTTCTCCTCTATTTTCCCTCATTTGGAATTAAAGTTAAAATAATTAGATATCTCTATTTGCTCATTTTCTTTGAGGTAAGAAAATGGAAATCAATGAAGATGACTTCCTTTAATTGGTCAGTTCAAAGTTAATTATGTTTCGTTTGAATTTATAGGCGTCTCCTTCGCCACCACCGCCATCATCTCCGCCTTTACAGCAAATACCTCCTCCAGACAGGGTCGATAATGTGGAGAAGACTGTATTATCCTCCAAACCTATTCCATCAGATATAGGGGATTCAGCTTGCATGGTTTCTTGTCTTCAGCCCTGGGCCACAAGCTTGGTTCTCCTTATCTCCCTATGTGCAATGTCCTTTTTCCAATCTTTAGTCTCTTCTGGCTATTTAAGTAGTATAATCACAACTCTTGAAAGGCGATTCGATCTCACTTCACGACAAGTCGGCTATATGTACTGCTGTTATGAAATCACATCGGTTCTAGCCACCATCGGTTTCTCATTTGTCAATGCTGCAAGAACAAATCGCCCTCGGATCGTTGGGATTCTGGGGTTGGTTCTTGGAGCGGGGTTTGGCTTATTTGCATTGCCTCATTGGCTCTCGGGGCCTTATAATCCAGGGAAGGTCGCGGGTATGCAAAATAGACGTGGTGGTAGTCAGGCCTTGTGTTCTGAACTAGCGTTGGGAAATGCGACCTCCCTGCTTCCACCGTTTATTGATCGATCACATTGCAATCAGACTGAGGTGACCATTTTGAAGATAGGAGAAGAGGCAGTGATTGCGTCTGATTACACTGTCGCGTTGCCGCTTTTTTGCTGTGCCATGGCTTTGGCTGGCTTTGGATCTAGTTCTCTATTTGTTCTAGCGCCCACTTTCTTTTGGGATAATCTTCCGCCAGAACAATATCCTCTTTATTCGGGTAAGTTTTTTTTGTTTACCTCCCCATTATTAAATGTATTGGTAGCAAGAATATTGGATGGATTAAGCATCGCCATAAAAAAATATTGTTTAAGGTCAAAATGTTCTCTTTACTTGTTAATATGTGGTAGTATCAAAAGTCCTGTGTAGAAATTAGGGAAATTTTCGTCAAATCTAACACTATTTTTGGTAAATGAAAATTTTGCATCATAGATGATAATTACATAAGTGATGTGTATCTTTTGTAACTACTTTTACTGTGGGAGTAAAACAGTCCAGCAGAACATGCCTTGGGCAAGTTAGAATTTGGCTCTAGGACACCCGTGTGTGTCAGTTACAGCAGATGCTGGTTGTTCTCAAATAATGAAGCTCCAAGTTTTCTGCGTATTTTTCAATCCGACGTTTCACGAACCATTTGCATTCATTTGTCTGCTTGAGAATGCGTTCACACAAACTTGATCATTCCTTAAGACTAGTTTGTAAGTTTACGGTGCTATTAGCAGGCATAAGCAGTGGTTGGTTTTTAATGACATTCATTAATGAGTTATCATTGATGATGATACAATACTTCAACTTCAAGATGACACGTGCTTATGAGAATTTAGCGCGTAAGGGTTCATAATCAAATTTTAATCAAACTTATTATTTATTTATATCAAATGACAGACGTTTTGATAGTTATCATTAGCCTTTTAGTTGACTTCAGGCTTCACAGAGGGGAAGGAACATCAAATTGAAAAAAATGTCGAGAGGGGGAACAGAAGAGTGGTTCACAAATGTAAGAGATAAACACAAAGGCAGAGAAAAGGTAAGATGAGTACTGTGAAAGTGGTAGAATACAGTCGGGTCATTGTAGTTTGAAGTCAGAAGTCAACTGCCGGTTAATAGACTTTTGTGGTATGAGTATACGTTGCCTAGGGTGCACCACGTGGAGGTAAATCTATCGCACACCCCTTGAAATAAAACTTACTTAGCCCTTTAGAATACCTCTAAATAGCTACCCTGACCTATAGAGGTTTTGAGGCTTCCTTATTTTCAGAATGAGTGCAGTTCATTTGATTTTATTCCTACGTGCTTGGGTTGCCAACTGCTTGGTTCAATTTCACGTCGTCTCGTTCTTTAGCCTCAATTTATTAGTGTCCTTTTAAGTTAGACTGGTGGAGGTTTGAAAACAACCTAGCCCAGAGTGAATTAAAGCCCCTAGTAAATTTCAGATATTGTTTCCCCGGTCACTATTTTCCCCTTAAATCTCTCTTCTACTTTCTTTCTACGCATTCATATTTTTAGGAATTACTGTTTAGCACCTTTGACTAACCGGTTACCGGCAGGGATTTCCAATCGAATAATAACGCGAAGCCAGTTTTATTTTGTAATGTCTAATCAATGACCAACACAATCTTTACAAAGTACAATTTCACTTTGCCAGAGAAAGTTCCTATCGGTTTATTTTTTCACGATTTTTTATTGACTTTTGTAAATACTATTCAAAACAAAATTAGTTGGTGAGGGAGGGAGAGAGAATCGTGAACTTTGTTACATGGTGCTGCGTAGTTCATTTAAATAAAAAGGTATGAATGCGGTTTTGAAATGAATTCGTTATTTAAAAACAGTAAAATGAACACATACTTCTCCAATATATATATATATATATATATATATATATATATATATATATATATATATATTAATTAAAGCTTGTGTTTTGAAACACACTCGTCTTGAGTGAAATGGTAACACCATAGTGTCATCCTAATGAGAAATTAGAATTCTTCCATCCCACTTCACCAGCCAGACTTAACCATCCCTTTCACTATGCTCCTTCCAGTGGGCAGCTATGGGATGAGCCATCTGAATTACCACATTAGAAGATAAAGGGTCAGTTTGCAACGAATGTGCACTACGATTTAGTAGTCATCGTACATGTCTGACAAGTCAGGAATCACTGACTGTTGCTTTTCTGCATAAATTCAACCAACCCCGGCTAATTCTGGTCAACAAAAATGGGCTAGCGTCTGAGTTTCTCTTAAAGGCGCCTCCTTCATATCCCTCCTCCATCCAATTCAAGTTCTGTGAATCCTTCTAGCGGCTTTAGGATATAGAGTTATAATGTCTACTTTAAAAGTAGTGGTAAATATCACAACGAATCTTGCGGTAAATCTGCTGGTATTGAGAATTCAGTGAAAATGATTGAGTTAATAGGAAGAAAGGAATAGTACGAGTCAATAAGTCTTAACTTAATTTTGACTATTAAGTTATGCTAATAAACATAAACATTTTTTTCAAACGACAGGCTTTATGATATTTATCATTAGCCCTTAAACTTTGACTTCAGCTTCCCCCATGGGTGGGTGGGGGGGGGGGGGGGTATATATATATATATATAACAGATAATTAATAGCAGTTCATTTGCTGTCTTCTTGCTTCCCAGTATCTCTGGGTTTCCGTCGTTGTCTTTAGGGCTGAACACCACATCAGGTGGGTCTTCTCCATTTTCTCCTGTAGGTTACATAGGGGGCATGTGGGTTGAGTGTATATTCCCGATCTGTGAAGGTGTTTTGCCAGGCAATCGTGTCCGGTGCATAAACATGAACATAACACATTATTAACATAATATGTTATGTTTAACAGTATTAAGTAGTGCTAAACATGCCATTTTTATATATTTCTTGGTCTCCAACATCCAGATGCTTTCAAGAAAGTTATTATATATTCATCTTAAGCAAGGTAAAGCAGTCCTCTAATTAGTCACTAGAGCTAATTATAGGATCCCGGCTAAGTTAGTCTTGGAGATATTTCCATCTATAATTGACAACCAAGGCATGGATGTATTAGATAACTGAAAGAAACAGAAGAAACATTATAGGGGTTGTAGGAGTTTGAAATAGGATCAGGGAGTTGAATTCCCTGTTTTGTGACCTTTGATAGGTATGAGGCTCTGCTTAAATAAGGAGGTATTGCGTAGACCAGGCATATCGTTCCACAAGAGTGAGAAAGATAAAATAGGGAACCTGGGAACATCGAATAGTACAAGTTGAAAATACAGGAAAAATATTATTACGGGATCCTTTTCTACCTCATGTGAAATGAAAGAGGTGCTGAATATGTCTCGAATCCTAGGTTCATAGGCCGATTGTGCGTCCATGATTATTTTTTATTATTTTCGGATAAATGCTTAATTCTTTCGGATTGATTGGCGACCAATGAAAAACACGATTCATCTTGTATTTAATGACTTAGAATAAACAGTGCAGTAGTAAGTTATAAATGGGGGATATGTTTATGCAGGTTGCCTGTTTTGTATTATTTAGGGTATTTTATACTACTGATATCATTATTGGTACTGCTATTTTTCTCTCCCCTTAGGTCTGCTCTATAGTAGTGCAGGTTTGGGTCCAGCTTTTGGTTTCATGGCAGGCGCAGCATTCCTACAGATATACATAGACGCCCCTTCTATTCAACCTCCATCGTCTCAGCTGGACGTCTACAGTCAATCTTGGCTTGGAGCGTGGTGGTTGGGTATGGTTATCTTTGGTGCTGTCACTTGTCTCCCGGCCATTCCAGTTCTCCTTTTTCCACGAAGACTTCCAGCACGTTCTGGAGATGAAGTCTCAATGCCATTGGAGCCTGCAACAGTAAACACGACTGCGGTAAGCTAGTACATATGTGTGGACCACCGCTTTAATTTGTCTGAAGGGTGACACACCGAAGTATGCAACGATTTGCGGTCGAAGTGTCTTTTTTTTGCTGGATAGTACTCACAGTTATGGCTTAACTGTAATGATCTAAGATTAGTCAGAGAAATCCAACAATACAATTTTTTACTAAAGAAATGAGGCAGATTTTTTTTTGAAAACGTCATGTTTGGTGGGTGCTCAGACAGGAAGTTATGCACCAATAATTAGTGATATTGCTTGTCTCAGTTACCTCCTATTGGCTTTTGCAAGATAAAAATAAATCAAATCAGTATAGGTAAGATTGGTACAAAATCAACTCGTCAACAAAGTTTGGCTCTTGTAAACATGATCTCTCCCACGTATCATTTAATGACACTTAAATAGTGAGGCAATGCTGACCGTACTCTTTGTGGTAGACATAAGATGTTAAAGGGGGAATGTAATTGCGAAAAGTATTCAATGCTTTCCATTTACTAATAAAACACTATTTACATTCTGTTTTATTCCCGTTATCATATTTTCCAAGTAATTTCCATAAAACTATTTGTGTATGATATTAACTAGCTGATGGTGGGTATAATTTTTGTTTACAAAAATAGAGTTTATGTATTATTGTGAGGATTTGTTGTTCACCTACACTGTTTTGTTGCAGTTAATCGATATTACTTGCATTGTGTGTTGTGAAGGGTCTTGTTTCTAGTGATTCGCTTGACCCAAAATGCGTTTTCAACCAGTTACAAGTTACATTACTTTTTTCCCTTCCGTTACCGATTAATGACATTTAATTTGTCTCATGCATTCTGCTCAGCTCTCCACTCCTGAAGATGACGAAAAAATTGATGCCGGTGAGCCTAGAGCTTACCAACCCTCCAACCTTCCATGTCGCTTTCCTGAACCCATTCCAGAAACCAATGAGTCATTGACACTACATACGTCCCGACAACAGTCGTCCCTTTCAACTTCCAGCAATCCTGAAGTCGACTACAAACTTCATCGACGGCAGGCTTCAAGAGGTGACGCTAATTCTGATGTCTTTCAAATGACCTCTTCTCAGCCGCAACCTGTTAAATCCATTCCTCTTTCTGCATCCTCCCAAGCACCCACTTGTCTTTCAACAACGCCTTCGAAACATCGAAGGGAAAAGGGTTTCTCTTTTTCACGCTGGAGGTCAGATTTTTCTCGAAAGTATCGAGGTATGTCCTTGCATAGGCAACATTTCTGCTTCCCTTGAAAATGTCAATCCGTTGTGGATATCGAATATGTGCCATATGGCTCATTCGTCTAATTAGTTATACTGCAACTTTGCAGAGTAGCCTGATGAAGAAGACAGGGTATATTCCTGAATCAAGAGAGAATCTACGACTATACTTAAGCCTAGACTGCTTGTTACTTTTCTTGAACGACCTTTTTTCAGCTAGGCATCTGATTTTAATCCTTATTTATTTCTTAGGCTCTATTTTCTTTGATCTGCCAGAGAGTATTGCGGTCGCTGATTAATTATCTTTTTGTGTGAACAGGTAGCTCAGTGTGCGTGTGTGTGTGCAAATGTTAAGGAAAGCCGATACGAAGGGGATTTCGCATTTGAACTATCCAATTTGTCGATATGGGGTTGTGTCGGTTTGATGGGTAAGACTTCAGTGAGGGCTATCACTTTGCCTGCACACTTAAGCCTTGGTGCCACAAATATATCCTAATTATTGAAGTAGGAGAAGTTGCGTCGATGTTTTTTTAAAGGGAACAGCTACAAGCTTCTCTTTCTTTTATTTCTGCTCAGTGGATTTTGTATTTTGCATAGTTTTCTGAAGTGAATTATCGTTTAACAGAGGTGGGAGTTTTAGAGGAACGTGCATATGTTCTAAGGCGATTGTGAGGGCAAAGGGGAGGAGGAGGGTCGCGTTTGAAGATTTCGGCTTGAAAATCCGCGCATATCGCGTTTCGTGATTTGCCCACGTTCTCTCTCAAGATTCTCATGACCTGAGGTGGTATGTTCGATTGGAGTTTGGTTTTTCACCAACTTTTTTTTAAATCTGTATTCGCTGGCATTTTTGCAACCTTCCGTTTTTCAAACCGCTATCGGTTTTTTTTCTAATAAATTATTTGATTGAGGTTCAAGCAGCTAATATGGGTACCACTCTCACCATTGTATCTATGCTACGTTTCTAATATTTGCTTTATGGCGAAGGTAGACATTTATTGGAGATGTTTATGGTCATCCTATCTTTCGTGTTTCACACATTTCCAATTGTGAATGATTTATCGAGTTACTGGTTCTAATGGTTAATTTATCTCATTCAAATGCTCTTTCATTTATTTCTATTCTTCTTTTTATGACTTGACTTCTAATATTGGCATAAAAGGATTTAACTATGGTCGATTTTACCGCTGTCTTACAAAATTTTCTATCTCAAACATTACCCAATCCGAAAATTATAAACCAAAATGTATCTGACTCAGCTATTTTCCATCTAAGCGCAAACGAAAACGGATTCAATATTGACTGTGCTTTTCTAAACCTACAACACCATGTAGGAGCACTTTTTTGGTAGAAAGGATCTGGACGAGAGAATTTGTCATAGAATTTCTTAGTAGTTGGATTTGGGCAGAGGATAGATATAGAGATGTGTGTCATAGAAATAGGCACCGGGAAATGATGGCAAGCTGTCTGTTCCAATTCAGTTGGTAAGAGTGCACAAGCACTCGAAAAGAGGTCAATGCTGTCTCACAGTCGATTGAGTCTCCACAGAAGTTATGGTAGGTGGCCCGATGAATACGTGGCGGTTTAGACTTGCAGTCGGACAAATTTCCGACAATTGCTAAGTTATCTCAAATATTGTTTCAGATTATTGAAAAGCTTTATGATGAAACACATTTCCTTACTTAGGCGTCCCAATTAAATTGTTTTTGTGTTTTGTTCATCAGGTCGAATGGGTGTCTTCTTAAGAGTTGTGAAAAACCCGATCTGGCTAGGGGTTACTGCAACAACTGTAACCGAGAATATCATCGTTTCAGCATACCTCACATATGCAGCCAAATACTTGCAAGCCCAATTTCGAGTCCCGGCCCATTTGGCAAGCATTCACACTGGTTGGTGGAATTCCTAATTCGAAATCTACTGTTTTCGATTGTAAGTAGTTTATGCATCTTTTAGGAGCTGTTGTGGTGCCGAGTGCCGTTCTTGGTGTTCTTTCTGGAGCTCTCCTAATGCGTCATTTTCGTCCATCGATCACACGTACCCTACTGGCTGTTTTGTTACCACTATTTGCTACCTTGGCAACTGTCCTCATTCTCATGCTGGGTCTCAACTGTTCAGCTAATCAGATGGCTGGAGTTAGTGCAACTTATGATGGCAAACCGTGAGTGATTTTTTTTCTAGTGTCTCATTCTCTTTTTACTGTCCCCCCTCACTACGGCATTTCCTTTGTTTCCTTCTCATCTTGGGATAATACTTAAGTCTGTCATTTCTATATCACTTAATGCTACTTAAATGGTCCTATTTTTGATTTCAGCGTCCTGATTTCAGTTGGACGTTGAGAGCTAATTTCGGGTAAATGGATTGAACAAATCATACACTTTCTTATCTGGAATCCATAAGCACATAATTTTGGCTCTGCAATATGCTACACAGGAAGAAGCAATTTGAGTCGGTTAACAGAAAATCCAGCATGTATTAGAGTGGATGGTGGCTTTATCAACATATCGAAGCCTCTTGATTAATTTTTTTGAACTCATTCTGTGGAATATTTATTCCGGGTTATCGAAAGTGCTTGCCTACTGCTTGTTGATTGTTTTTTTTAAGTCATATTCTCACTTGTTACTTCAATTTATTTTCTTCAAACAGCTGAGAAAACAAAGTACTTCTTCTTGATATTCATCATCTTTTTAGCTTTAACGTGGCCGGGATGGGATTGTTGAAAATGGTTAGTTGGTAGAGCTCCATGATATTGTTTAAATGGTTCCAAATCCCAACTTTTGAGGCTGAAGTTAAAATCTCCAACCAGTAGACGCTACAATAGACATAGAAGATAGTATCTTGCAGCAGAGTCGCATCGCCAATTCTTGATGGTTTTTGGAGATGATTCTACGTAATAGTGAGTGTTGCAGATGGGTGTTATTCGAATTGGGAAATAAATACCTTCACATGTTCTTTAAACGGGGTTAGATTGATGAACAAAGTGACTGATTATACACCATCGCTGAGCTAAGCAGTGTCCTATTAGTGGTTTGTATTCATTATTATGGCGGTCGAATTTTGGGAGTTCATTATCTATAAGCTTGGTTTTGCATTAAATTCTACCCTATTTGAATTTGATTGCTAGCCACTAAGTATGTGGCATTCAAAATAGATGTGGTTCGAAATCGGAGTTATTATTTCAGATATTTTGTCCACTTTCCTTACTTGAAACAAGTATTTACTCGCCTGAATGCCGAAGTCGAACTCTTATGTCTAAGTTATCATCACTTAATCTAATCCTGTACATTTAACATTAAGCAGATAGTTATATGCCATGATTATCTTAATAACTCCCAACTCAACACTTAATACTCATCTTGGTTATTTGGGTTGGTATTGACACTTTTCCCCACTGGATTTGCTTCAATAGGGAGTTGAATCCGGGACTTCCGATCGCGTGGCCGGCCATCCTAACCACTGCATATAACGCCCAATGAGTTTAGATGTAAGTCAAGTAAGCTTATTGGCTGCATTGTTTGTCATGTATTTTGACCAGCCTTCTGCAGTTTCAATCCTTATAAAATAACCTACGAACTGGAGTAAATAACACCAATAATGACGGGAATAGAGACAACACACTGATACTGTCGAATAGCATAGATTAAGCGGGTGTGTATGTTTATGTACTTTCATCTCAAATCTCAACTGTATTCTTTAGCATTCAATATTGTTGTTTTTACAGGTCCCACTTCCCTTCGATATAACCCCTCCTCTCTCCACAAATCGATTTTATAAATTATTTCAAGGGGATATTTGTCGCCTTTAATATTTGACCTTTAGACATTGTTGAGCTCGATATTTTGTGCTAAATGAGCAAATAGAACCAGCGGTTTTACATTTCACTTGGATTTGGACCCGATATGACGTCAAATATCAATTTTAGTGCTTATTCTAACATTGTAAGTAGTCTTGTTTCAATATTCCAAGTGAATTAGCCTATTTCTGATAGTCGTCTTCTCATTATGTACTTTTTCGTGATCTTTTGACTTTACTAAACTTTCAAGTGCAAGTCTGCGACTGTTTCCGCATTTAGGTTGAATTTCGAAGCTCGTAGTTTCATTGGCTTTGTTAAAAGACTCGAACAGATAGGCGTGGATTGTGCGTTAAATTGGTGGTAATTTGTTGTTTTCTTTCAGATGTGTTTAAGTTCTCCACGCCTCCTTTAAAATTTTTCTTCTGGTGCCTTTCCGCTGTGAAAATCTCCCCCCCCTCCCCCTCCCCCCAATGTGAAAGTCCAACACGCAGAATAATAAATTGATTAGATTGCATATAGTCCAAAGGTCATTTTACGAGTCATATAGATTGAATTTGTAGCATGTCCCTCTCCAATGGTATTGTGTTTTGCCAACATTTTTTTATGGAATTTAATTTGAATCCAGATATAAACGTGGAATTGATGCCCAATTCAGTAGTTGACCCTTGGTTAACAGCAGCGGGACTCGACCTCAAGGAGGAAGATATTAATTAATTTTCGTGAAGCGATTTGTATGACTACGCCAGTTTAATGAGTTTCTCATCATCATCGACCAAATTTCACTCGCTGTCTGCTTGCCTCGTGGCAGCCATGTTCTAACCATGCTCGTTCTATTCAACCATAACATCTCACAAGTGGTTTGAATATGGTTTTATTAAGAGCCAACATGTGGATGACATAAGTCAATTGGATGTTGTGTAAAGTGCATGCTTTTTATGTGAGGTTGAGGAATAAGGGCCAGAAGGCATGACATGTTCCAAGATTGCGAATCTGTTCATCTTGTCAGTGTGATCGTAATTTTCTCCCATTGAGTGAGGACTTAATAAGCTAATTGTCTTTAATTGTCCACACTTTGTGCTCATGTTGCCTATACGCTGGTGCTTGTGCTTCCGAACTAATTTAGCAACGTTACGATCCTGCTTCTAACGTATTTATCTCATATAACAACAGCAATTTAACTCGTTCGTTTGTAAGACCTTCACACCTATTGTCCTATTCTATTCCTTTTCTTCGTTAGAAATCGGATTTTTGGTGGATCCTTCCTTCATCATCCTTCCAATCTCACCGCCCCCTGTAATGCTGTATGCCGTGTGCGTCCTGGTGGTGGTGGTGGAAAAATCGGCCGTGATGATTCTTTATTCTCCTGTCCACTTGCCTCAGACTACAATCCTGTCTGTTGGGAGTCTCTGGCTGATGGAGGCGGTAGGTACAAGAAGCGTCAAATGTCTTTCCTCAACCCCTGTCTGGCTGGATGTTCCGGACAGAACTATGAAATCGATGAGAATGGGAAAACTATTGAGGTAATTTTGAATCTACTTGCCCGCCTTTTGCAATTTATGACTCTTAATGCTAGTGCCTTGGAAAATAGGTTGTTTTCCGGCTGTTGATAATAACACCGTAGGATATGTGCGCCTATATTTCGGTGAAGATGATTCACTACATTGGGTTGACCTGTTCAAATCGCTAATCCCTAGCAGAAAAGCTGTAGGCTTTGGATTTTGGGTTGTACACTATTGGCTTTGTGGCTATAGCTCATCTCTTCATGTTAAATGTTTAATCTCACTTTGTATATGCAGTCTCTTTGGCGCTCCACTTCATGTGCCCTATGGAATAAAGTTTTGTCAACAGTCATAAGAGCAGATCTTTTATGGCGCTTTTAATGTCCGTAAATACAGTTTTACGTTTGAATCTCATGAAACGTAGGGGTTCATTTTAGACTTCAATATTGATTGGCGCCTCTGTCTCTTAGTATTGCTTCCCTCGTCAATCCAACTATCATAGAACAGCATCTAAACGCTAAATTTATAATGGCGTCAGAATGGCAAGACTGCAGTTCACTTTCACATATAGGATATAATTCTGATAGAAATTCCAAAATTGTCATGTGATTGAAAAATTGAAAGTTTGCAAGGTACCTTAAACTTCTTCTTGGCAATATCGACATCTTATTTTAGAATTTTTCCCATTTTTTGTTTGATTAGTGAATAACCTACTTTTCTTGAGGCGATTGGATGTCGTTTTTAAAATAGAAAATTTTGATCTGTTTATTAAGCGCTTTTGCTATAGACGTCTCTATATTGCAAGGCAGGAGGAATAGCAATTTTTCCCCTAATTTTAATGTGCTTGGTACCTAGCTCCCTATTAGTACGAAGATTTAATGTTGGCACACTTGAACGATCGGACAAAGCTACCTAGTTGTTCATATTTCCGCACATTCTCGCTACTTATGCCATGTAAGTAGTAATTGATGTTTACTAAAATTGACATTTATAATTTCAGGTATACACGGACTGTAACTGTGTGACAAATAGGACCCTAGCACCGTTAGGCGTCCATTTTATCGGAGAAAGAGAAGATACTGTAGGTGGTACGGCTAAACAAGGTGTCTGCAATCCCCTCTGCCCCAACTATGTGCCTTTTCTAATCGTAACATTTCTGACAATCTTTCTTACAAGTGTCAATCAGAACCCCAGCAATGTTGTCACCTTGAGTTGTGTGGACCCAAAAGATGGGACCGCTGCTCTCGGACTGCAAGTGTTTTTCGCGAGAACCCTTGGTGAGGTCTCATTACTGAATTCAGATTTTATAATTGCTGTGGTCTATTTACTTATCTCTTGTCTAATTACTTCCCTTTTGAGTGCAGCTTTCATTCCGACACCAATATACTTTGGAGCTCTAATGGATCGTACGTGCAAAGTTCGTGCGTTACCACAGCGACTGGTGTGTGAGTCATATTTGAATAGCAGTAGTAGTCAATCCTCTCCGCATCTTCTACTTCTCTCCGCGATGAAACTGGCTACCTTGGAGGGTGCCTGCTTAGAGTATGATGTACATGCTCTACCGTTTGCGTGGCTTGGTGGAGTAACGGTCTTCAAGTGTCTTAGCATTTTCATTGCGCTATTAACGTGGCGATATTCTTGGTGAGTTTGCGATTCCTTGGTCAACCTAGTCTATTGGTAGAAAATGATCATTTAACCCACCCATTAGCTACTTTGAAAAATTATGGAACAATGATCAGGTAGTTGTCGCATTTATTGAGTCCAGTTCGCCACAAACTGGTTAGGCAGACAGCTAGGTTCTGATTCTACATTCTCGTAGTGAATGTATCAGCATTTACCTAATAGCCTAAGAAAGCATTTATGTGAAATCTGAAGGTCTCAAGCTGGATTTACATCTGATTTCTGAGGATATGACGATTGAAAGCACTTGATTGCGATGGCAGATATAGAATAAGGTCTTTACAACGTGATTTATATGCCACACTTAAATATTTACTTGTTTTAGTCGATTGGATGCACGTAAAGAGAAGGAAAGCTTATCGATGCTCAAGGGGGATGATTCACCAGAACGACAATGTATTTGAAAAACCAACTACACACAAACTGCGACCGCCTTTTTTCTTTGTTTAAGTTTGAATATATTTCATGCACTTTAACCTACCGTCTTCTTTTTGTGAAAGCAAATCCTTGAAAATACAATACAATTTCAATCCTATTATGCCTCCATCTCATATCCCATTTATGCTGACAAATAACGAGATATGCTTTGTGGATTGAGCATTAAAATATCCTAATTGATAGATTGATATCTTCAAAAGAGCAGTACATTAATTTGAGTCAGAAATAATGAATGCGCATAACACAAGTGAGCAACAGTAATTTGTCTAGAAGGTTACTAACATTAATTTGCCGCCCAAATAGGGCAGTCCCTGTCAAAAGTGGTAAGAAAATAAAGTATAGAATGCAATTAATTGCAAATGCGCATCAAAACTGCTAAAATGTCTAGACATTAAAAAGTCCGCGATAAGCTATACTGAAAATGGCTGTGAAGTTTCCCCGAGAACGAAACCAGGACAAGTCCACACCTCCCAAAATGTTTAGTGCGCATGAGAACCTTGGGATTAGACATGAAGGTGCTACATATCTATTTGTTAAACTAAACAATTTGGGGGCATATGAGCTCTCTCTACTGAAAAATCTGAGATAAGGAACCATATATCGGCTACAATCTAGATAAGTAAGGGATCAATTGTCTAATATCCAGCCTTTTGAAATCAAGTAGGCATCCCAATAAACATTTAAATTATGTTTCTATTATCTAAAAATTGCGAAATGGGGGGGGGGCGGCACGAACTTAAAAGGATAACCGTACTATAATTTTTTTAAGTTTATGTTCCCATTGAGCCAGTGGGAGTTGAATCGATAGCCAACATTTAATATACATCGTAAAAAGGTCACAATGAGGTTAGCAAAAAACATTAAAGCACAGCACAGAAAAAACCCCAAAAGATATGATAGAAAACGGACAGGAAAGTAGGAAAGATTTATTATCATGTCCTAAAAAATAGGCAACCAATAGATTTTAATGAAAAGCGATCACAAATCCAAGTCAATGAAAACGTATATGAATACTAGAAATCAGTGGTAATGAAAATACCCCACAATTTAAATGAAATAATAATGAAGAATAGCAAACCAACAGCATTTTATGTGAACAAAGAAAAGAGAAAATTTTTGGAAGTAATTTTATATATAAGCATATAATAAGAAAACATAAAAAATAGTTAGTACCGATATTTGGTTGAATAGTCCTTAGGTGAGACCACAAGACCACGTCCTTTACGTGCTCCACGATAAACAGTTTCCACAATATCAATAAATTCCTGCTTGTCCTCGATGGCCCAGTTGATCTTATTGTTGTTACCGGTCCCCAAATCAATCATGATGTGCTTATTACGGTAGAAAAACATAACGGTACAAGGATCATATAATTCATACATTTTGTTAAAGTCGGGAACTTGCGCGATATCAACGAGATAAACAACAGCGAAGTTTTTTATCTTCTCAGCTACTTGAAACAGAGTTTCATCCATAACCATACATTGCGGATCCCAATCATGACCAAATCGGATAATAACGACTCTGTCTTCTTCAGACAAAATAGCCTGATCTACCTGCCAGCCGTTTGTCAAATGCGTGAGCATATACGACATCCTCAAGACCAACCCGCCAAAAATACTAATCAAGAAGTCTCTCCACGAATGATATATTAAAACAACTTAACAATTAAAACAAAATTAAAAATGAAAATATTAACAAAACCTTACTAAAATAAATAAACAGGATAATTAATAATTTAAAATTTATCGCTAATATTGCCAGGTTTGAATTACATTACCCTTTATTATAATAAACTATTAACATTTTCTATCTGGTTGGGATTTGCACACTGGAGTTGGCAAATCTGAGTAATATTAGACAATACCATAAAGTAGCATCAATAAAGGTTGAAAATGGATAAATTCTTCATTCTTCAGCTTACTGAGTTACTAACTTAAACGGTTCATTCTTTTCATTATAAATCTTAAATATAATTTGTAAATTCTTTCAATAATAGGAAACTTGAATAATTACTTCACATATATTAGCTGCTTATGGGGAGTATTATGTAAGTTACCAACTTCTCAATATTGTCTTATAAATCTGACACTGGGTTTACTGAGTCAGTCAGGCTTAACTAGTGTAGCAATCCGCTAAAACTTTTTCCTTATTTTATAGACGTTACAAATTTTCGCATTATTGTCAGCAAATCAAAAGCTTCCTAGATTTCATTTGGCCTTAAATACACTCTAACGTAATGCAACCTTAATGGAACCCAGACATGAGTAGAATTATGATTGATGCTTTAATTGCAATTGTTTTCAATTGTGTGAAAAAGAATGCCTAGATGTCAAATATTTTCTCAATCTTATCTTCCGTAGTATATTGTTGCTCATTTCATCAACTTAATCTTTAGATAATTTCCGCTTTAATGTGCGCACATACATAACATATTTGAAGTGGGATATTTGCACAACAAAAGATATATTGAGCTAATCTACATGTTATTTTTATAAGGAAACTGTTTATTTATTATGATCAAATAAAAATATATTTGCGTCATTTCGAGTAGAAAAGTTTTGAAAAACTATTCTCATGATACTAATTAAGTCGTTATCCATTAACTAAGCACATTAATGAATTTACCACTTCAGTAGCAGATTCTTTGTAAAATTTATTTATGATAGATTATTAACAGTAATAGGCTGGGAGAAATAAACCACATTCAATCAACTTATGACGCTAAACAGCTAGCTCCAACCTGTTTCAAATGTAACCCAACGTCAAAAGCTCACAAGAGCACAACCCTCCAAATACCAACGGGCTTATTCAAGGGCCAGTTTCGCACAAATTGAACTCATCTTCTATGCGAAGTTACAAGGACCCTAAGTGCCCTGCCCGAGATGATTAGCTTTTGCATCTCGGTAAACTGAAATTAATACATTACAAATATTGCTTTTTTTAGCGACCCCAAAACTATTAGATTCCTTGTTACTAAGTAGGCCTTATCAAAAAGGTCACACATAAATGAATTTATTGGTTTAAAAATAAGCACGTTAGCTGAAAAAGCATATTAGGTGCAAAGATTTACCCAAATTTACGGAAAAAACAGTTTTTGCTTCCTACTTGATTACATTTCAATTTATATAAATTACTAATAAAAAGTACAATCATCCACAAAGACACAAAAACATTCACAAAATGAAAAGGAGAAGAGGGAGAGGAAAAAAGAATGGAAGGACAATCAGTATTGAGAAATAATCGGTAAATGTGATGATAGTTGAAGAGTATTCTCTTACATCAAATCCACAATCCCTAAATTAATCATTTAAGATCGCGGCTGAGGGGGTGCGATTGGTACCCCACCTGGACCGAGGCCACTGCTCCCTCCAGTAGAATTGAAGTTTCCAACGCTCGGGTTGCCATTCACGGAGCTGAGATGGGCGGCGCCCGAGGACATTGGTCCCACTTGCCCACCTGTAAGAAAACCTGCGTGCATACTTGAAGCACCAGCACCAGCTGTTAAATAAGCCGTTGCTACAGCGGCAGATGGTGGTGCATTGGTAAGGAAGAGTGCATGACTTTGATCCCGGTATTCCGCCCACCTATCACCCTCTGTGTCTAATTTCGCGGTCACTTGAGCACCATAAACAGGATTTTTTTGCATGGCTTTGATAGCCTTAACGATATAGGCACGACATTGGCCAGGCTCGCGTACCGACACCGGTAATCCACGTTGAAGGGTTTGCAGAAGAAAGTCTATCAAATTACATTTGAGAGCCTGAAAATAGCAAAACGAAAAGTCATCAACTACTGAAATCAAGACACAGAGAGTATATTAAAGGCGAATTGCTAACCTGAGCAACTAATGGGTCACAGCCAGTTGTGTTGAAGATATTGAAAAGTGTCTCCCCCATAGTACCAATTTCTTCACCCACACAGTAATCGATTACGTGCCGATAACTAACTATTGTTTCCCGCTCGACCATCGCTCCAATACATAACTAAAGATAAGAATTATAAGAAGCAGTGAATTCGGGAGATTTACCTTGCTAGCCGACATTGCGTGAATTAGGAGAGCGCATGTTTTCGCTTCTTCAGGTTCCTGAACACCAGGACAAGCGTCAAGAATTCTGTGAGCAAATCCCTTCCTCGGAAGGCTATCAATCAGTCCAGGACGATCATTCAACAGTTGAAGTGCGGCTCTACTCATAAGACGCAGCATTCCAGGGGGATCAGTCCTTTGGGAGGGCAATTTTCCGCTTAAACTCTCGAGAAGTCGTGCCATTAGAGATTCTAAAAATACTTCCGGTTGTCGAAGCATCCATCTACCCGCGGATTGATTGACGTAGAGTTGAAGATACACTCCACCAACACAGACCACGTTGTCAGCTGAAATGTAACCCTCATCACTATCGTCTGTGAGATTGTGCATCCGAAGGGTCTCTGCAATTGCGGATGCGTAGGAGACAGCGTAGGCGTCCGGGAGAGACCACTTAATGGATCGGTTCTTTTCTTGTTGGCGATTGAATCTAGAGAAGAATGTGCGTAAAGTGACTGGAAGTAATAAGAGTACAGAAGTAAGCACCAATCCCAAAGTGACTAGTGCAAGAATTTCACCTAATAAAGGGAAATAGATAGACCATATTAGTGATCAACTTAACCACTAGTGGGGTAAAATAAACTGTCAAATTTATGTAAGTGATAGGTTTTCAATCGCAGCAGAACACTGAGAATGCTAAATGCCAGAAGAAATGTATTCAACGCTTTCATTCAACGATGAAGTACAGTTTTTGTAATGGATAAGTTAAAGAGACACTAATTAAAATTCAAGCCAAATAGAATCTCCCCAGAAAAATGACGCCATAAATGAAACATATAGCAACAGTTAAACCTCCAATCAAATCAAACCAGCATCGAGCAAAAGGTGTAGGTGTAAAATTTAATCGAACAGTGACTGCCTCTGAACTTGAAACTCACAGAAATTGGAAGGAGATCTGCAATCTTATTAATTGAATGTCTAAGACTCACCGATTGCACATATCCAGAACAGCTTCACCTAAGTGATTTCTGCATTCTTGATTCCAAATAAGCTCAGGATTGAGGTGATCCGCTGTAAAAGACACAAGTAGATACACAACTAGATTAAAAATTCTCGAAGAGATTCAATTACAACACCAAGGCAAGTATAAACCCACAATCATAAAGTGAAATAAACTGCTCAGGGGTCTCCTTAATGGTCTCAGGAAAAATAGCAGGCAAGAATTGGCCCAAAAGGGCTTGAATCCTCCGGCCCAATTGTGGATTGGCGAGACATCGGCTCAGAATATCAACCGCACTACGGCGTACTTCTGGGACTTCTGATGCTGTGATCACTTCTAGGAGGTAAATCAGACCCCCAGCGTAGACGAGTTCCTTCAGGAGTGCATTCAACGTAACCACATGGGCAAAGAACTCTAGTAGTGACAAGTGCGCTAAAAACGAAAAGATTTCTTAGAGGATTAAAACAGTAAACTAGTATGTGTAACTATATGATGTGAGTATTCAGAAAAAAAAATACAAGAAATGATACTTTTCAAAGGCCTATCAAATAGATATTCCTAATTCGCAAATATTGATGGGGAGAAGATTGTGAAAGAGCAGTAGAAGGAAGACGAAGTTAGAAATTAAGGGACGAAATTCCGTCTTTTTTTCCAGATCTTTGCACCTATTCTAAGTACCTGAAATAAGTTCTTACATATTTCGGCATTAAGTGTGATGGTAAAAGGCACTATTTTTGGGGAAGGAGGCAAAATGGAGCGTAACAATAGCGACATTCAAACACTTCAATACTCATGTATCGTAATATTGGTTATTGGATGCATCGAAATTCTATACCAAAAAGGTATCTAAAGCAAGCCAAATTCCTTAGACCTTGTAAAAATTACACGCATTCGGTCCAAACGAGTCTTTAGAAACAGTATGATCACTGAGGAGAGCAAAAATAAGTTATACTTGACCTTAGATACACGTGAGCCATGAAGCCAGTACTTCAAAACGAGCAATTTAAAGAAAAATCACATCAAATAAATCAAAATAAATAAAATTCTCCATACATTCGTAAAGAATAAAAACTTGAATTATTATTATTATATACACCCTGGAACTGACCAATTGGTAAAGATCTGAAGAGCATAACAGCACCAACAAGGAGATTAGACGCATGAATGTCATTCAGACATTCTGGGTTCTTCGCAACTGCATTCAGAACTTCAATAGCTCGCAACTTCATGTCAGTATATCCTTCCAACTCGAGAATACCAAAGAGAATGGGAAAGTGTCCAATGCATTGGAGTTCGACACCTTCAAGAAGAATAAGAATGAATCACGTTTAATCAAAGAATCATTGTGTTAGATAAATTTTCTAATTGAACTATTTCAGTAGACCAAAAAGCATTCACCTGCATAACTACGACCAACATTGCGCAAAGCCTCCAGCGAAGATTCAAGGTGATGAACTAGTTTTGTTGTCGTTGGATGTCCATCAGGAACTCTTGGTAGATGGGCCAATTCTTTTTTCAAATAACGAAACAGATCGATTACGAAACTCTTGGGATTCTGAAAATAAATAAAAAAGGCAAATCCGCATTAAATTGATCAAGATAATCGGCAAGGAATGGACTCATATTAAATCATTTCACATCAATAAAAGTATACAATTGAATCTTCTGACCGGTCACTAACTGAATATTCATTATAACCTAAATGATTCTCTCCACTGTAAATGAGCAAATAGAAGAGGATAGATGTAATAATTTCGAGATTCATATATATATCAATTAAAAAAGTACAGTAGATTGCACATAATGGCTCATACCTAAGCAAGTTCGATTTGCCAGTTAAAGAAATTTTATCGGCTCCTGTGATGAACATATTTATTTATTTCAAATAGTAGGCGTTTTGATAGTTATCATCAGCCCTTTAGCTGACTTCGGGCATCACAGGGGGAAGAAATATCAAAGTAACAGAAAGTCGAGGGGGTGGGGAACAGAAGAGTGGTTCACAGATGTGAAAGGGTCAGACAGACACAAGGCAGAGAAAAGGTAGGATGAGTAGTGTTGAAATGGTAGAATAAGGCATACAATTTGGCCATTGTAGTTTGAAGTCAGAAGTCAACTGCGGGTTAATAGATTTTTTCGCACCAAGTGATAACTATTTCTGTGATGAACACAAAAGCTGTGAACTACCTAGTCCTGAGTTTCGCTAACTCAGTAACTACACTCCTCTTTCTCTCCCAACTTGGTTGCCTACCAATTTCGATTTCCTTTCCAACTTCCATTAAAAGTGACCAGTATAGCCATCACCCGAATCAAATATTCTTCCTCTACTTCGGGAGTGCTATATCCATAGTGATCTTTAGTTGTTCAAATGGACACTTAGCCTAATTTGGTTATACAGGAGCATTTAGTAGTACTTTAATGTCCTGCCTTTCTCTACTTAAACAGCAAGCAAACATGAAGATTCGTTGCGGACTAAATACTATAAGCGGGATTTTTGGGTAATTTGGGGTTCAAAGTTAAAATATAGTCTTACAGCTTTTCTCTATTTGAGACTAAAGCTCGACCCTCCCCCCATACGGAATGAGTCCTTCTTGAATGAAATATTTTGGTTCTTTATTATCGCCCATGGGCACTTATTCCGGTGGGTGGTTATTTGGTTTCAAAAATATTTTCATGAAATGGAATTTTCCGTTAAACCGCCCAGAGAGAATTTTCGGAAAACCCCGTTAGTACAGTATTTTGAAAAGTAGACCCAGCAACCGGCTTTAAATAATAAAATTATGTACTAACATCAATGGGGAAGGTTGGCTGCTTATTGAAGATGCGAACGAAGATTTCACCGACTAGAAGTTCGCCTTGGAAGGTCTTATGCTCGAAGGATTTCGCTGCGTCAAAATCGACATCGCCCTGAAAGGAAACAAAAAAAGAATACCATGAATGAATTCCACTGATCCTAAAGATGTACTCCTGCCATACCATAACCCCCCCCCCCAAATCTTACAAATAATTCGTCCACAAAGGCGAATCAAAGTCATTGTTAAATTTATGACTGACAAGGTGCAAGAATATATCCTCTAAGCAGTTGCTTTTAATAACCCTTCTCATACTTTCACGTTTACATTTTTGCCCAAATTAATCTGAGGCTGAAAAAAATTGACACTAAAAAGGAATAGTTATTTGTGAATCTATGAGACTAGAAGCGAGTTCTTCAACTATTCTCCTCCTAAAAGTCCACTGGAGGATCGAACTTGCACCCTTACTTACAGTTCAATTCCTCTCTGTACTTTTCCCCCAAGTAATACCGTACTAAGTCTAGATGCCTTGCAGAGATTGGTAATTAGATAAACACTGCAGTTGATACAAAAAAATCAAATTTAAGAGTTCACAATTAATCAGACGTAGCAGGATAATTTACATATTGCACTAATAGCCCCCAAACTACTGCCTGGATATTAGAGGGATTAAATTTGGACTTGGTCAATACTCCGATAGAGCAAACAATGTCAAGAAATAGTGGTAAGAAAACTTTCATCGTCAAGAACCACCCTTCAAAATCAATGATTACAAACACAAAAAAGCGATATGAGAATCAAGAACGTGGTCGTCAACAAAGGTGCATACCGTCTTCATCAGATGGGACACTTGATTATCCAGGAACCCGGTTAATTGAGCACGACATTGATTATCCCAAATGAAGCAGGGCGTGGCACTATTTGTAGTCAACAGTTTCGCCAATTGACGTAAAGCTTGTCCACTGTCTGACGTGGAAGAGAGGAATGGTGATGAGAGGATGAGATCAATATTGGCCACAGGGGTAGGTGGTTTGGTTGCGCGAGCTAGGTCCAGCAGCTTTCGAGTTATATGCGGTGTCAGAAGACGATTTAGGATGAATTCAGGGGAAGTTGTTTCCTCATCCTGCGTGTTATTAGAAGCGAAGCCATTCAACAAACACGCTAACGCCCAAAGACACAGTAATGAGAGCTGGTTCAGAGAAATCTATTAAAACACAAGAGGCAAAGGAACTTAGAACAACAAACTACCCCAATATTTACCAGTATAGGATGAAAAACTTGCCTGTTTATTAGTATTACTTGAGGTTTCAACCCCACTCTCTTCAAGAGTGAAATCGTACGCCAGAACATGATTAAGGAGCATATAGGCGCCACCATTAAGATGAACACTATTACAAAGCCAAAAGTCCTGACAAAATGCACTCGCACAAGCAGCGGCTTGACTGCACAATCGAGAGAGGTTCTACACCAAATAAAGTAAATTCACGTAAATAAATAAATAGGGAGGGGGGGGGGGGGGGGGGAGTGAAGGTGCATGTTACCTTGTAGTAAAGTAGTCGAATGATTCCACGAACAATTTGCGGAATTTCATGAATACACTCTCTGGAGGCGGGAAACTTCGTGGAAACTGTAAAAAACCCGGTGATATGGCAACAAACATTAACTGCGAGTTGATTGTTGAGACTATCGTCCAGGGATAAAAGAGCAGCACATCTAGCGAAGGCGTCCTAAACAAATGAGAAAAAAGTGATATAGCGTTGCATGAAAGAAATGGTATTATTTGCTCAAACCGATATATTTAAATACATGCGGCCGCATTTACTAAGATCCATTAGCATGAAGATCAAAAGGCCGTGAGTTAAAGCCCTACCATTTTAAAAAAACGCTTTTTCGATTAAGATTCGAGCTAAATCATACCCACACAACAGAATGAAAATAGCAAAATGTTAGATTATACATTTGGAACAAGCTCAAAACAAAAGTATGAAAACAAGAGATTCCATAAATATCAAAATGCCACTGCAATGCGTCTGTCAAAACTCTGAACAAAAATGGGTAGATTAAGACCACTCTGAAAAAAGACGTTTTTGAGCCGTTCAATGGAAAATTCGAAATCTGGGTGATGATTTCAACAAAGAACACCCACCACCTCCCATACACACATTATTAAAAATCCATTATAAGCCGAAAGAAGTGTGAAAGAGGAAATGAAATTGGATGACTGAGGTATTAATCAACCAAATTCAGGACCAATCGACCAACTGCAATTCCCTTTTGACTAATAGGTGAATACGACAAAACGTAGGAAACGTACGCGAGAGAAAGTAAAGTAGACCACGTCACCAAAGGATTCAAATACTAGCAAACTAGAACGCGTCAAACCTGGTCAAGCTAATAGAATCACAATGAACTGATGATTATGGTACAAGGTGGAGCATTCGCTTTCTTCAACTCAATCCAAACTTTAGAGAGATCACAACTTTCATATTAAAAACTTTAGAAGCTTTCCTTTTAAATGCGCAATTATTTCCGTACAGATCTCACTACTGCGCAACCAATCGAGAAAAGGAAACAACATTTTCTACTGGGTTAGATGATGTCAAAAGATGATTAGAAATCAAATGTCGTTAGTCTAGTTCACATCACTAGGTGGTTTAGTGTGCAAGTAATAAGCTAAAAAGCGAAACATTTATTCCTAGTTATAGTTAAAATGAAATAGGCAGCATCATATAGTCATCCCAATTCCTTAAATTTTACTAGCCAAACGCAGCTATTGTGGTTGAACATTCCACTCGCTAGCAGTGCTGTGCGTCCACACGTGAGAACGATCACCATTCAATACAAGATGGTAACTAACCTGAAGCGTCTGGAGACCCCCTTCACGTCTGAGCTCCTCAGCATTCAAAGCACTTGTAGCCACGGTCTCGTAAGCTAGTTCAGTGGAGGAGGAGAGGAGTTCTGTAGCAGTACTACTACTGTTTTCATTGAAACCTCTTTGGAAGAGAGATGCGTCTTCGACTTCCATTTGGATGGTGCGAATGAGAGCTGGATATCCGGCGTATTTATGCGGAGTCAGTTCTACAAAGCACAATAATCAAACATTATTTTGCCAGCAGCCTCCACACAGCATTTATTTAAACTTAAAATCAAAATTCACGCATTACATCTGCGGCAGTTTACCGAATAAGGTTTTTTTATATCAGACCTTAAATTTTGGACGCAAGATATGTCATAGAAAATTTCAACTATTAGGTTGGCAACTAAGTCATTGCCGATTTC